GAGGAGGAGGAGGAGGAGGAAGAGGAGGAGGAGGAGGAGGGGGAGAAGGAGGAGGATGATGATGAGGAGGAGGATGAGGATGAAGAAGATGATGAAGATGATAACGATGATTATGGTGATGATACTGATGGTGATTCTATTCGTAGATCTGAATATATTTGCGGATTGATGAATCTGACAGAGAGCACACAGCTAAAATAATCCTCAGGACTCTGGCTAGTAATTCTCCTAAAGCATTAGAAATATGGCTAAGCAACCTTCCGGTTTCCAGGTTGCTGAGTTATGAAACCAAATACATTATTTTCTTCTTCTGGTAAAAAAAAGTAATAAATGGGTTAGGGTATTAATATTACTATGTTGGACTCTCGCTTTTACTTCTGTTGTATACCATTCATGACGCCTCGAATATCGAGTAAAGAAAGGGTAGCTCTGCTCTTGGATTTTTTGCTGGGTTTTTTTGTGGTGGGGGGGGGGGTTGGGGGGAGAGGGGTGTTTTCTTCTTAAAACAACATTCCCTGCGCTTCGAGAGTGTAGTGTCTTTGAGCTATTCATGGTTTCAGAAGTGGCTATTAAATAGTAGTGAATACTTCATACAGGCAAATTTTATACCTCTTGTTGGCTCAACTTTTTCACCCAGTCTCAGAGCCACCAAGTACAAATAATGCTACCTTTACCTCGACGATTGTAAATGCATTGTGCTCCTATTTTAACCAAAGTTTGAGAAAAATGAAAAGAAAATCTATCGTCTGTATTTTATTAATAGATAGATAGCATTTGCATAGCGCAAATCCTCGCTCAACAGCAAGCTTTATGCGCTTCACAATCTATACTATTACCCCAGCAGACCTGAGAGCATTCTAAAACAAACTCAACTTCCTGGGAAGCATACAACACAAGCAGCCATTTAAAGGCGCTAAAACATTAACATTCTGACAATATATTTCGCTGTCTGTGGCCGGGTACCCATTTCCACCTGGGTGAGGTGAGGAAAATTCGTATAAAGTGCCTTTCCCAAGGACACAACGACGGGCCCGAGGCTCGAACCCCCGACCCCGCAACCTCTCGATTACGAGACTGGTAGCCAACAAAATCACATGGCATTCGAATCGCTTGAATCTCCAGCGATTCCCGTCATTTTATGTGTCTGAGATAAATGAGATTTTTATGTCATGGTTAATGGTTTCTATCGACAGTTTCTTCTTAGTAAGATTTTTACATGATCTCATAATTAATTTGATCCCTTCGAGATCCAAACACTCCTTGGCTGAGTGAACCATCTCCTTGTATAGTCACTTTGTGTCAGATACCTTGCATACATACAAAGTAAAAAATAAAAGAATAAAGAATAATATACCAATAATGAAATTTGATTGAAAATGTTTTTTAATCAATCGTAAAACAGAAAGGAAATGAATCAAAACATTATTGGAAAATCATAAAAAGACATGTTTCGGACACCTTTTCTTTCGGATGAAAAAGACAAAAGTATTTCACGATTCCTCCTTCGAATACTTTCTTATTATCCTCTTTCACTCTTTCATTTCCCCTAGATTCTTTTCTTTCCAATAGTTTACTTTGCTTTCAGACAAGTGTAGTCCAGCACACACACACAACGAAATCGGCGAGACGCAGAATTCTTTTCGATATTATGAATTTTGCTATGCGTGTTTTAAATACAAAGAATACCCACGTATACGACAATTTCGGGACAGAAGATCTGTTTACTGTGTGCGAGTTGCGCTGTGTGTGTTTCGTTTTGTGCGTGTTTCGCTATGTGCGCGTTTCGGTATGTGCGTATTTCGTTAAGTGTGTATTTTTCTGTATGTGTGTTCCGTTATATGCGTGTTTCTTTATGTACGTGTTCGCTATGAGCGGGCAAGACAGTAGCTTCAATTCAATTTTCTGTGACGGTTAAGTGGACAGTAGACATGGTAGTGAATGAACATGGTACGTAATTCATGCTATTGAGTAATACAAGAGAGGGTAAAGTAGAAAACGAACAAAATCTGCACGTTTAAAGACATTGTTAAAAGAAAATCTTTATAATTTAAGGGTTATCATCACCCTTCTCCCTCCGAGACCTAACATAGACAACACACTCTATGGAACATTACAGCAACTGCAGCAGACCTGCACTTATCACTACTTGGCATTGGACAGAAGGGCGAGAGCCCAGCTGTTGCTGGATCGATAACAACAACAACAACAACAACAACAACAACAACAACAACAACAACAACAACAACAACAACAAGGGTTATCATCATCATAAAGTGAAAGATCTGAAACAGACGTAGGCGATCACGGGTCTCCATTCATGTCTTTGTTCGGATACTCAAAACTCTAAAAATGTATGTATTATTTGTCCTCGTCTTTCCCTGTCATACATTTGTCCAGATTTTCCAGGTAAGTTGCTCTTAGTTTATCCCTGCCTCATTTGTTTTGGGTTTTTTTCATCAAGAGCTAGACTTTCAAGGCTTGTATATCGATATACATGTCCCAGATAGCTTAACTGCATTTAATTTGTCTCTTCCTAATAATTTGAATTTATGAGCTGCCCCTGTGGGCTTTCTTCAGTACTGCCTCATTTGAGGTTTTTCTCCTTCCAAGAAATTCACAACAGTCTCCTAAAAGATGACCCTTCGGAACTGTTGCTTCTATTTTTTATTTTCGGTGTCTTTGGCAACTTTACTGAGCGCCTGTGATTTGTTGGTAAGGCACTTCGCCGTTACAAGCAGAAGACATGAGTTCAATTCCCGTGCAGTGAGAATTTTTATCGCCGAGTATCTTCGGGGAAAAGAAGGGGGATTGCTACAGGGACGTTGTATATCTCTCTCAGCCTAGATTGGACCAGACTGACAATGTCAAAGCAGCCCGCCTCCTAAATATTCTAAAGCTCGTCGATTGGGAGTAAAACATCTTCAATTGCAATTATGCAGTTCTACAGTCGCACGGCCATGGTTAACGACCAAGACAAATTTCTCCCTGCGAGATGAATAAAGATTGTCATTGTCTTTGTCATTGTCAGACGGGTTGGCTACATATAACGTTTTAGAATTTTTTTTTTATTTAGTGGTCATTGAGTCAAAAAATACGTTTAGTTTTCAGGATTTGATTGGATGTATTAAAACTGCCCTTAGTTATTTATTTTTTTATTCTTAGTTTTATTTTTGCTGTAAATCATAATATAATTTTATTAATTGAAAGAGAAAAGAAAATCTAGTTATATTGAGTTCCAAATTTGGTCGCGTATCCGGTTTTGTTTCGTCTTTGTTTTTATATCCGGCTTGTCCTGGATCCGGTTTGTCAGGAATCCGGTTAAGTTTCTTGTCTCACAACCAGCCCACAAAGAAGCGTCACGGTAAACACCAACAGAGACACAGAAACCCGGGTGCCGGGGTTTGGATCTAGGAAAAAAGGAAGGAAAATACAGTATTAAGGACACTCTTTAGTAGCAAAACTTGTTATAAAAAATTAGTGTTAAAGAGAACATTTTTTTGAGAGTGCACTAAAGGTTCTCAAAACATGCGTTCATAAACATAGTGTCACAATTAGAACAAATACTAGCTGGGCCCCCTTTCGATGAAAGGAATAATCGGTGCATTAACATCAACTGAAAGTCATTGGCCTACAATATTTACACTCTTCTGGAATGGAGCAATAAATCCTGAGAGATGAAAAAAAAATAGGTTTAGATATAGTGATTATCATGTATACATTGATTGTCTATTCCGCTTTCGTGGTTGCACACTCCAGAATTTCAAAGGTGTCGAAACAGTGCGCACGGCCAGTGAACGGAAACCTCACTCGTTTACGATGGCGTCATAGAAGACTGACTTTTCCAACCTTAGATCTAAACGAAACTAATGAACAACTGAAAATTAAACTACAGTGACTTCAGGCTCCTCAATAAAACTGTGCACCCTTTAAATGATTTTGAACCACCATTAATTTTGTCAAATTCGAAAGTTAAGCGGTTCGGAAGTTTTAGGCTGCAAAAGTGACGGACTTTCACAAATATAATAAATATAAATGACAGACCTACTTTTATAAACGATGTTATTCCAGCTCATGGGATGCAAACCTTTAAAAATCTGTAGAAACCGTCCATTGCGATGTTTTTAATAGTATAGGCCTATTTATTTATTAAAGAATTTTCTTGAATAAAGCAAAGGGGGCTCTCGTAGCCTAGAGGTTAAGATGTTCGCCTCTCATTCAATAGGTCCCGGATTCGAATCCGGACATCAACGGAAAATTTTCTTCTCTAAAATATTTTCTCTTTTAACATCTTTTCCTGATCTCTAACAGTGTTCTGTAGTCTGTTTTCATCTCCACTTTCTGGCCCCACCCCCTTACCTCCTTTGCCCCTTCCTCTGGACTCCTGACTCTTTCTGCAGCCTTTCTAATGCTATTCCTTAGCTTTCTTTCTATTGTCTTTCACACTTTTAGCCACACCCCTGATCCTATGGTAGGAAAGATCTACACCTAGCCTTCTCGGACAAGGGCGAAAAACCTCGGAGGTCCTGTGTGCAAGTTGCACACGCTAAAGATCCCTTGGTGGTCCTAAATCGATAAGAGTTGGTTTCGGCAGCCACGCTGACAAAATTCAAAATTTCCTACCAACTGAAAATGTTTAATGTGTCCCGCGCGCTCATACTATGACATTATGCAGTTGTGAGCACAGTAAAGCCCTTACCACAACCCCCC